GAAGGTTAAATAGTTTTTTAAAAGCTTAGCTTTAAAAAAATGTCTCCTTATACGTTCAGTTTTATCATGTGGGTACATCTTTCTATTCCAGTGCATTCAGATCAAGTCACGAGTGCCGAGTCTACGAGAGGGCTGAGATGCACGTATGGCTTCCCCTCAGTGCCTTTGAACTGCGTCGGGCCAGTAATGCGATCACATAAACCGATCAAACGACTGACCATTCCATTGTCAAAGTCGCAGAGCAATGTTGTTTCTCAATCTGGCTCACTGGCCGCCCATTCACTGCGCCATCGAGGTCCCATCCTTGACCGCGCCGCCGTACGATGGAATCAATGCGACCTCGTCAAACATCAGCGTCAAATTCGTCACAGCCGCGGCGCCAACGCCGCACTTCCCGCGGCGATCAAAGTAAGCCGCAGCTCTCCTTTAGAGCAGCGCCCGACACTAAAGACGCAGCTCAAACTTCTCAATCATCGACCAAAGGCGCGACCGCCGGTCATTCTCCACGCTAAGGCTGCTTTACGTGAGATTGTTAAGAACGGGCTCGGGTTTATTTAGTTTTGTTGATAATCAAGTGCGATTGTAAGCGATGGTATAGAAAGGGAAGACCAAAGCGAGCAAAAGTAAGCGAGCGAGTGAGTGAGTGAGTTAGTGGATTAGTGAGTGAGTTAGTTCATTAGTGAGTGAGTGAGTGAGTGAGTGAGTGAATGAGTAAGTGAGTGAGTGAATGAGTGAGTGAGTGAGTGAATGAGTGAGTGAGTTAGTGGGTTAGTGGGTTAGTGAGTGAGTGAATGAGTGAGTGAGTGAGTTAGTGGGTTAGTAAGTGAGTTAGTGAATTAGTGAATGAGTGAGTGAATGAGTGAGTGAGTGATTGAATGAGTGAGTGAGTGAGTGAGTGAGAGTGAGCCGGTAAGTGGAAAGTGAACGTTCTGCCGTCCCACTGGGTTGTGTAAGCCTATATACAACATAAACTGCTGGCGTCTCTGCGGTGCCGGTCGGCAGCTGACGCCCTGACAGCGGGGTCCCTGGTCAGGTCAGACCCGGGGGCGGTGTCAGCACCGATTTCCCACAGCTGGCCAGCTGTCCCCCGTGGCGTCCCGGCGGTCCTGCCCCCCCCCCCCCCCCCCCCCCGCTGTGACCTGACCTTGACCCGACAGAGGCGCCGAGACGTCCGGCCGTAACTCCGCAGAAGACGGGCTTGTAGGAGGGGCGCTGCCCGTGACCCTGCAATATCAGGCAGCGTAATGATATGACCCCATAACCCTTATGAAATGGACGCTTATAACCTAAGTCCTTAGTAAGGGATGTTATCATACACCCATGCTACATTTTTGTACCAAACTTTATTATATCATTGCACCATATCTAGCGGATTGAAGACATGGCTGTCAAGCAAGTGAAGTTTATTCTTTGCCTTCTTTAAACAATCAATCATTAGCCATGCGATTATGCATCCATTCTTTTCGGGTCTGTTAAACCCAACGAACTTTGATACATGCAGTAGTTGACCATTGTTGTAAATGCAGTACCTATGTATGTATTGATCAAAGATGTCTATTACCGCCTAGCCTTTATCATCAAATATAAGAACAAATTGTGAGGATAATATAATGAAATGCCCATTAGGTACCCAAATGGCCCCTCTGATAGCTTCACGTGGTCGTGATGTAAAATCGCGATCAATAACCGTCAAATCATGACCGTCCCCATGACAAGTGAGGTGGCTGAATTCAGCTAATGTAATTGGCGCACGGTAAACTGTTCCCAAAGCCGCGTCCAAGAGACAGGTGGTGAGCATTGAACACACTGCGTGACGATATAATATGGTGGCGACAGCTGTCAGCTAGCAGCGGTCAGACCCAGCCATCAGTCCATCTGACTGTTCCTCGTTAGAATCAGGTATGCAATGCACATCACACAGGTATGCGCTAATATGGGTCTCCACGGCTCGTTTTTACTCGTTTCTATGATTTTTTTTTATCATCCACCATCCGTCCACCACCCACCGCCCACCGTCCACCGTCCACCACCCACTGTCCACCGTCCGCCGTCCACTGTCCACCGTCCACCGTCCCATCTGTCGTCTCTCCACATAAGTGGTCGGTGGTCGCTGGGGTGCAATGTGCATGTGTTTAGCGTCGCGTAACAATGGCACTGGGACACGCGACGCTGACTGCGGACGCGCTGAGAACGTCTGTGAGCGGCCGTTTAGAAGCGATGCAACGGTAGCTCTAGCTGGATACATGAATGGGCTCGGAGCTGTGCCGTGAAGGTGGATCAGTGTCTATTTAGGGGGTGGATTATCTTCATTCGTGTGGATGACGAAAGTAAATAGCTACATAGACGAGGTTTCTAATTGAAACGGGTCTAATGATGCATAATAACTTTAATGACGTAACATTACTTCCGACTTCGCTGAGCCTCAACTTGAGTTGCGGTTGGGTGCGTTTGTATCAATAGGTCAAACCCACTAGCTAACTTCTAACTCAAAAACTAACACTAACTCACTAACCTAATTAAAAAACAAAGGTCTGATTATTTAAGATAAATAACGGAATCAGAATGTTTTGAATGGAAAGGTAATGCTAGAAATATTTCAGTCGGTAGTCTGCATCCAGTCGGGTGTGATCACGTGTTTGAGCTACAGCTGAGGTAAGTGCGCACTGCGCACCCATTATCCAGATACGAGCCACCACGCATTTCTTTGTTTCCTGGCTGGCAGACGGATCGACGAGAAAACAGCCACTTGTACTCGCTTAGAATTTCAGATGAGGCAGAAAGAAGCAGGGGTCAGCCCCGAGAATGAATGGGCACGCATTCCAGGCCGGGTGGGGACGAGGCGGCTGGCGCGCTGGGACCGCGGCAGGGAGGGGTTTCGGACGCCACTCTGTTGCGGTACCCGGGCGGTCGGTGCTTTGTGTGAAACCACTGGAAGTCGCTCATCAATTCCCGCAGCCATTGTGCATCCGCCTCGTTTGTTCTTGGTCAGGTAAACCCTAATCTGGGCCGGCCTGTGGCCGAGGAATCTCGGCGGCCCTGTCCCATGGCCGGCTACTCAGGCCTAAAGTGGATACTTCAGCCCTTATAAGCCGCGTCAGTGGAGCCGAGGATCGTGTTGGGGCACGTAGAGCCAATTAGCAGCGACAGAGAAACACCTGTACGGCCATTAGTCTAAATTCCCCGCGGATATCAACTTAAGAAGAGGCGGCTGCACCTGCGGTTCTTCCTACAAAAACAAATTAATTTGTTTTCGCAGCCGCTGCCTACAGCTATTTGAGATGGCATCCATACGGGCACTTATTTAGTTAGTCGGTGGATTTAGGATAGCCTCGAATGGCTAACGAAATAGCCATCGTTGCGTCACAAGAAGCAGCGCCGGCGCCGGCTCCGTGACAGATAAATTGCGTGAGATTACGGCCGCCTCTGACAGGTGCCGTACTGGCCGTCCTGCTGGCCTGTATTCACTGGGCGCTGAGGTCGCCAATTAAGCCATCTCGTCTGATGGTCGGTAGGTACTAGGTATATACCTGCCGATGCCCGGCGGGAAGGGCACGCCCTCGGTACACATCTCAGCGCGATGGCAGCGCGGCAGCACCCCGACAGGAACATTTACGAAACTTTAACGGAGTACGTGAAGCCGCAGACCTTGGGTGGTGAGAATATGTATACTGCTGGCGAGCACGGCCTTCAGGGGGCCACGAAGGGCGCAACCTTCCAGATGTTTCCGCCCGTGTTCCCTCCATCGGTTGCGGTTTTAAGAACCCGATAAAGGGCAGCATCGTTAAGCTCAATGCTCGATTTGAGCTTATTTATTTATTTATTTATTTATCTATTTATTTAATTATTTATCTATTTATTTAATTATTTATCTATTTATTTATTTATTTATATCTTTATTTATTCATTTATTTATTTATTTATTTATTTATTTATTCATTAATATTTCGTTTCACCTGACAAACAAGTGGGCATTACGACGGGAACTGATAGAAAGAAACACAGATAAAAGCAAAGCTGCAAATCATCCGACATTTAATACAACAACCTCGTTAACATTTGCAGTTCGCACTTACCCATGATTTTCACAAAATTCAAAATGCACATTCCAAGAAGACACATCGCAGTGCTACATTCCTTATCACTTAATTGACCAGCATCCGCTTTATTTTTTGAGGTATTTGCTATACCTACTCGGCAATGGGTTGCCTTCTCAGTGGCGTAAATGAGAAGGCAACCCATTCCATACCTTATATCCGTGATACGACAACCATGCTTTTTTGCATTCGGTTTTAGGGATGGCAAGCTCAAACTTACCACATTGCCTCCTCATTCACCCAGCTTGCTTCAATTTTAACAGAGATGAAATAGCATTTGGCGTATATTCTGGAAGTAGAAGACTTTGCCGAATAATTTTCAGCACAGCCATATATGTACGGCACCAACATCACCAATCACCATGCCATGCCTATTGTTGTGTTTCACGGCCAGCAATACGCCACGCAAATTTGAGGATTTCCCCTATTCTTTTTCGAGTTGTATTGAAACTGAACGTTGTTTCCACACGTCCTGCGACTGAACCCATTTCTTCGGACGCCGGAGAACATACCGGCTGATTACACTGAGTCGCTGTGTTGGTGCACTGTGGGACAGCCGCGGCGGCAACAATATGTCGTTTTCATCAATCCCAAAGGCGACAGGGCGTAGTACAAGTTCGATGACGACGTGGTGTTTAAAGGCGGTATGCTTCCCTTATCCTTATAAGGACGAGGAAAAGCTCACTGTGCGTCGCAGCACGAGTGCCTACATGCCCGATTTACTTATGCAAGCCGTTATTATGTCGGGATAACTTCAGGGTCTCAAGAAGACGACACTTACATACTGGGCTGGAGAAGCCGATCAGCTCAACCCATGTCCTTGTGCTGTCCAGTGCCATAGCCTATACCAGTCATTATTCAATATGTAGGTAGTTAGTACTTAGTACACCAGTTCAAAACTCTGTGTTAAAAATGATAGGTATATTTCCATGCACCTCCTCAAACATCGGTTACCACCATTCAATATTAGCAAGCATCGGTAAGCATCGGTTAATATTGGCTAACATGGGCAAATATCGCTTCAAATCGGCTGTCAGTAAACATCGCCGGCACAGGGGGGGGGGGGGGGGAGGATTAGTGCAATCCCCTAAGGTTTTTCGCAAATAACTCGCGTAAAAAGCGACTGATCGCGACAAAACTATTAACACCCTCGCGTTGATCAATTTTACACCAACCATAAAAATTTCATGACCCTGACCCAAATGACCTTTGACCTGTGACCTATTTTCCGAGACCATGTTTTGCCGGAATCGCGATTCGGCGTATATCGGCTCGCATCCGCGCATTTGCAGTCTTTTCGTGGTTTCAAGCGTTCAAATATGTGATTTGATGCTGCTCCCATGCATGAGGGTGGATGTCAAGGTCACCTGAGTCCTGAAGGTCAGGTCAGGTCATTGACCTTTGGTGACCTCGGTCCACTTTTCGAGTTTTACATGTTTCTAGGCCAGTTTTTGGAGCTGAATTCGAATTTAGCAACCATTTGAACATTTACGAAGTAGTTTTTGTGCCTTCTTAACATGTTACGTCGCCGTCAGTGGTAGTTGACACCTACTATGTATAGCCGGCAGGACCCCTACTGGTTGACCTGACCTGACCTGACCCGACCTGGCCTAAATGCATAAAGACATCATCTGTAATTAAAACTAAATGATATTCGTGATCATTACCCAGAAAGCACGTAGCAGCCACACTTTACGTTCTAATAGGCCCCGATTTTCCAGACTTTTGGGTCATTGACCTGACCTAGAAGGTCGACCGATGACCTAGGACCTTAAAATCGGGTATCATCGGCTTCCTCTCGTCACGGGCAACACGCTCGTTTTTTTCGCGAAGCTCTAGCTCGATCAGGGGCCAAACGCAAGAGGAGGGGTCGTACCAATCCCCCTTGTGCCGTCGATGGACGCAAAATAGCCTGTGCCGGCGAGGGTTTTAACAATGGTTCAGCTATCATCTTAAAAATGGGGATAGCATCGATTGATATCGACTAATATCGGCAAACATCGTGGTTAACATCGGTTAACGTCAATTGATATCGGCTAAATGCAGGTTAACCTAGGCTGAAGAGGGTTAAAACCGTCTGTTATTTTTCTTTGAAGGGCTAGGCACATTCGGTCAAATGAGACATTCCAGTATCGGAAGGATGATAGGAGGAATTGGGATTGGAGACATTGGTCTCGGCGGGCACCCTGGTGCACCGCTGGGGCTGAGCCTGTCACTTGGACATGCCACCCAGCCCCGCTAACGGTTACCCCATCGCACGTGGTCCTGCTCCTGGTGAGCTACCCACGTCGAATGAATGTGATCGTCCAGACCAATGGCTGTGAGGTGTAGAGCATTTGGCTGTCTTGAGGATATTAGAGCGACAGGAAAAAGCGGTTACTTTCAGTAGCGCACGTGACAGACCGGAGAAATGGCTGGGGAGGTTCCAAGAAGACCCGAAAAGTCTAATTGTTCGCGACGGATACATGCATATTGGCTATAATTCACTGGGTTTGGGGACTAGCGCGAGTGGTCACCGTCTCCGTCTCTAACTATGTCTCTGTCTTCGTCTCTATCTCTAACTCTGTCTCTGTCTCTGTCTCTGTCTGTCTCTGTCTCTGTCTCTGTCTGTCTCTGTCTTCGTCTCTGTCTCCTTTTGTCTCTAACTCTGTCTCTTACTCTGTATCTGTCTCTGTCTTCATCGTCTCCATCTGTCTAACTCTGTATGTCTCTGTCTCTGTCTCTGTGCCTATCTCTGTATTCGGACCCGCCGATGGCACCCAGTCTGCCGGCCGGTCACACAGTCCCAGTTGTTCGCTTCCCGGACCGATCACCCGAATGTCGGCCCTCGGACGCTGAGGCCCAGGTAGCCGCCGTAGCCGCCGGCCGTGTTGCCCTTGTGGTACAGTCCGAGTCCCGAGAGCCAGCCGGCCGGCCGCGGCGCCACCGGCTGAGTGTCCAGGAACGGCAGCGTCGACTGCGCCGCGTCCGCGTCCAGGTTGCTGGCCTCGAATTGGACAGTGTGCATGCCGGGCCGGCTGTCGGGCCAGCTGGGCGCCGCCGAGTGGGTGGACGGCACGGGTCCTGAGCGCAGTTTGAGCCGGGGCACGCCGGCGGCCGGCCGGCGGCCCTCCAGCCAGCCGCTGGAGGAGGCCACGAGCGCGCCCGTCTCGGAGATGTTGGTCACCTGGGGGCGCGGCCGGCGAGTCAGAGCAGGGTCACATCGCCGGGGTCACAGCGACATGGTCACAGCGACAGGGTCTCAGCGACAGGGTCACATCGCCGGGGTCACAGCGACAGGGTCACAGCGACAGGGTCACATCGCCGGGGTCACAGCGACAGGGTCACAGCGACAGGGTCACATCGCCGGGGTCACAGCGACAGGGTTACATCGCCGGGGTCACATCGCCGGGGTCACAGCGACAGGGTCACATCGCCGGGGTCACATCGCCGGGGTCACAGCGACAGGGTCACAGCGATAGGGTCACATCGCCGGGGTCACAGCGACAGGGTTACAGCGACAGGGTCACAGCGACAGGGTCACAGCGACAGGGTCACAGCGACAGGGTCACAGCGACAGGGTTACAGCGACAGGGTCACAGCGACAGGGTTACAGTGACAGGGCCATGACCAGCACTGGGGTCGACTTCACCTGTCATTGGTGGTGGTAACAAAAGTAAGCAAGTAAGTAAGTCAGAGTGGCAAATCTCGCTCGTCTGATCACCCGGCGACCCATCGGACACAATGGCACATCCCACCTGAGCGCGGACGGTCAGATGGCCGCCGACCATGTGGAAGGCCGCGCCGGTAAGCACCTGGTTCTCCTGTCCTCGCAGCTCCTGCAGCAGCACACTGCGCTGGGAGTAGGAGAGCCGCACGTAGTCGCGACCTTCCTCGTCCCTGTAGGACGGCACAAGTCACCGGTAAGACGCCTTTTAGCGCGACAGACGAGCGGGCGCGACAGAGCCCTGCACGTGTGAAAGTACGGTGCGGGATCTCCCCTTCTAATCGATCCCCAACGATGCACCAAAGTCTAGTGCGATTGTCCCAGCCGTTGCTGCGATGATAGAACCAGTCCCAGCACTTGTGGACGTGCAGTAGCACCCAAACCATGAGCTATTGAAATTCATTGCCTGAGAGGCGTCCATGGAGCAGCAATGACCACGCCATGCTGTGGATTGCTCATTAAATATACGTGGTAAAGTAGTTTGATGAAGAAATTGGTGAAGCAGAGGCAGGGAGGTCACTTAGAGCTTGACCCTTCCGCAAGGAACGAAATAGAAGAAACTAGGGTTACCCGCGTGCTCCGCAACGCGAAGAAGGGTTATTTTTGACCCGTGGGTATTGGGTTGGTCTGTGTCGATTTGGTTGGTATCCATTTCGTTTGATTGCTTTTTTTTTGACGGCCGAGCATTTTGTAATAAAACATAAACGATACATCGCATCGAGGTGCCCGTGTCGCATTATCATGCGTTCTACTTAACAATGATTCGAAAACTGGCGTGAAGTCTTTTGAGGGCCATCGATGAATTTCGCTTAAAATGACAATGTAATGGTTTGCAACATTTATATTTTTAAGAATACTGTTGCTCATCATGCAAAAATAAAGACTGAACCTTGGACAGAATTGAATGCTCTTTCCAACGGTGCCATTTTTAATTGCCAGAGATACCAGATCATTGAGCAAAACCCGTGTGATTAATAAAGTGGCAAAAAATTGACAAACATCATTTTCGCCCGTGATTTGTACGACCTTGATTTGGATTAATCAGCTTTTCACAATTTTCTCATGAGAGGCGGTACATTTCTCTTGCCAACAGGCGTTGTTCCAACTCGCTCCGTTTAACGGTCACCTAAAAATAAAATCAATTCCAAAATCCGTCAAAAACCGCAATTTTTCAAATAAAAGTGCCCTCTCCGGTGCACGTGGCGCGTGCTATCCTCTGCATTGCACACCATTCAATAGCCCGTTCAATTCTGTACACGATGCTGTTTTCCCCGTGCCGGTCGGATCCCTGGTCACCAAGATATTGCACGGGGACTGGACCCGTGTCGGCCAAAATTAGCCGTTTTCGCCCGATTTCGCACGCCGATTTATACATGTAAAGTCTATGACGCGAATTTGCACTTTTTGGGCACGCGCCACGCGCTCACTAACGACCCGATCGAGCTGAGACCCCTCAAAGGCACGTCGCGCATCTTTGATCTACAAGTTGTGCAAATTTCACCGGGCTAGGTGCAACGGTCTGGCCTGTAGTCCACGCAAAGCACCACCAAGTCTGGACCTCGGTAACGGACAGACGCACCCTCCTCAAATAGTAATATAGACTAGGGTGACCCGCGTGCTCCGCAACGCGAAAAGGGATATTTTCGATCGGCGGGTGTTCGGTTGTCCTTGTGTCGGTTGGGTTATCTATCCATTTCGGTCGATTGCTTTTTGACGGCTAAACGTTTTGGTTTGTGGAAAAAATATCCACCGCATCGAGGTGCCCGTGTCTGATAAGCATGCTTTCCACTTCAGAATCTGCCAAATGTGCTTTATAATTGAGGTGCGTAGTTTTCAGACAAATGAAAGGCGTAGATGTAAAGTATCCATGACAGTTGAATAACGACAACTCAAGAAACTCAAGATTACCAACCGATATTTATTTTTATTTTGAGTTTCTTGAGTTGTCGTTATTCAAAGGCGTAGATATTTTTCGCTAAAAATCACTTTGCAGAGGTTTAAAACATTTATATTTTTAAGAATACTGTTGCTTGTCATGCAAACGTGATGATTGGATCTTGGAGAGAATTGAATGCTCTTTCTAATGATAGCATTTTCAATTGTCAAGCGTATCAGGTTAAGCAGCAAATCCCGTGTAACTTTTTAGTGGCACATTTTGGACAAATACCATTTTAATTCAGCGATTTTTCCACATTGTTTTTGATCAATTAGCTGTCCACAATTTTTCCATGAGAGGCGGTACATTTCTCTTGGCAATTGACGTTGTTTCAACTCTCTCAGTCTGATGGTCACGGGAAAAATAAAATAAAATCCAAAATACGTTTGAAATGGCACTTTTTGAAATGAAATTGCCCTCACACTTGCACGTGGCGCGTGCCACCCCTGCACCGCACACTATTCGATTGCCCGTTCGATTCTCTACACGATGCTGTTTTCCCCGTGCCGATCGGGCGCACGGCTACCGAGATATTGCACGGGAACCAGACCCGTGTCGGGCAAATTTAGCCATTTTCGCCCGTTTTTGCCAGCCGATTTATACATGTAAAGTCTATGACGCGAATTTGCACTTTTTGGGCACGCGCCACGCGCTCGCTATCGATCCGATCGAGCCGAGACCGCTCAAAGGCACGTTGTCCATCCTTGTTCTATGAGTTGCGCAAATTTCAGCGCGGTAGGTGCAACGGTGTGACCTGTAACCCGCGCTACGTAGCACCATGTCGCGACCTTCGTAATAGACAGAAACTACGCCTTCCTCAAATAGTAATATAGATAGATGTAATCGTTTTCTTCGCATGAAAATGAAAACTCGCCATCTTTCATTCGGAAAACTTTACTTTAACCCGCGCATGACTGGGGTGTTTTCCACAATACAGGTGACGGGGGGGGGGGGGGCTCTACAATCTACACAGTCAACTTATTTAGTTATCTCTGAAACTATTGAGCCGATTGTCAAAATTCAAACGGCATTTGATGGATGGACGGAAAAAACGACATTTGATGGCCCTGGACGGAAAATATGTCAATCGTCTGTTGAACCGTGACTGCTAGGAAAAGGTGTCGCCATCTCGTCGAGCCGAGTCGGGTGAGGTGATTGTTGTGAGAGTGGCGCGCTCACCGGTTGGTGTCGATGCGCCGCTCGATCGGCTGCCACTGGGTGGTGGACGAGTTGACGTACCCATCCGCAGCGGCCTCAGCCTGCTCCAGCTGGATGTAGAACACGTTGTCCAGCTTGACGAGCCTGAAACAAGCAGATTGACCCGCTCGTTGTAGGCGGGTCTTTCGTCTCCGGTCTCACCGTGTGGGAGGTTATGGTCTTATTTCAGCAAAACCCGCTAATGTCATGAATACTCTGTTATCAGGCGAACAGAGAGCTGCTGATATAAAAATACCATCAATTACCATTTCCGGTATTTTTAAAAAGCCGAACAATCTCTGTCTGTTGTCTGTCTGTATGTCTCTGTCTGTATGTCTGTCATGCTTGCTCGAATACGCTGCTATTAGTTGATATGTTAATTTGTGTGTTACCTATTATGGTGGAATACGTTAACGGTTAAATAGCTGTTAATGGCATGTGCCAAAGAATGCGCGAGCCACCGTCGTTATCATCAGATAGTTTTAAGTGACCCTATTTGACATACCGGTGACTTGCGGCATCGCAGCTGACCCCAGCGTGACCTCACCTGACCCCTGTGACGATCTTGTTCTGGGCGACGTCGGCCGTTGCGGGCAGCAGGCTGAAGTAGCGAGCCGAGTCCGTGTCTTCATCGCACAGGCAGAAACATGTTGAACAGTGCACGAACTCGTGCTGAAAGCCCCACACCTGCAGTACGGATGTAGGTCGCTTTATTACCTCCGCACCCAATGCGTAACCTGCATCATACATTTTTGCCCGTTGCCAACGGGTCAATGACTCAATATACAAATGATTTAACCCACGCCAGGTCGGTGCTCGACGCCAACCGCACCGGGCGGCCGGGCCTGGGGGGGGGGGGGGTATCTGAGCACTCCCGCCCCCTTCAAATCTGCTCCTGGGCCATGTAGCGACACGTGGTAAGCGCAATTCGAAGCGGCATGTTTGAGGAGACGTTCGTCCAAATCAGGCGCCTTTGAATTTTTCCCATTGGCTTTGACTTATTAATGAATAGGGCGCAAAACTGACCTGACCTTAACCCGCGCCCCGCTGGGGGGGGGGGGGCAGAATCTGCCCCCCCTCCCGTTTTTCGCCAATAACTTCTAAACGCGTTACGCCAGCGACGTCAAACTTTCGGTAGCTTATCATACATCAATTTGACACGTTTCCTGAAAATTTGAGCGAAATCCGTCGGAAATTTTTGAGAAATTGACGTTTTAGTGACGTCATGTTCGCCATTTTCGCCTCAAAAAACGGCAAAATTTCAAACGCCGCTAACATCTTCATTTTTAAAGGAATCAAGACGTAACAAAAAAGGTTATACGTGATTCTACTTTGTCTATCAAATGGCTATCTCGGTTTTTTGAAAATTTTGGATTTTGGCCCAAAATTTTTCAAAAAACTGACGTTTTTGGGAAAATAATTATAAAATCCAAAATTTTGAGTGTATCGAAAAAACCGGAATATATGTCAGAGAAGAGGTCTATGTGCACCTACATACCAATTTTTAGAAGAATCGGTTAAAAAATGTGGGAGTTTTTCAAAATTTTATGACGTCACGACACACAAAATTTTTGAAAAAATATTTTTTTTGGAAGTTCTAGACCTCGTACGGAAACAAAAATAGCACCATTCGATTCGCCGTGAAAAACTGCATCAGATAGCCACCTTTTTAGGCCTTAACAAGCAACTTCAAAATTTGACCTTACTTGACCTGACCTTGACCTGACCTCGACCTGAAATTCATCCAGAGGTGGTCCATATCACTTATTGAGTGTGCCTATTGAATTCTATGAGTAAAATGACCCATAAAACATGTGTCGCACATGCCCTTTTCTATAATTTGCTTTTGGTGACCTGACCTGACCTGACCTGACCTTGACATTGACCTTTGAATGACATTGTATGCAACGGATATTGTCTTGGTAATCTAAGAACACGTTTTGGGCAATCAGTCTCAGTCCATTCTTCGGCAACTACGGTGCAAGACCGATACTGTAGAAATTTGCATTTTGTACCCTTGACCTGACCTTGACCTGACCTCTGACCTACTTAAGCAAAAAAATTTGGGCTCTTAAGATCCGCCTTGTTGAGAGCTTTCGATTGCCGTTTTCCCCGTCTTTCTACGACCATCGGTTCGGAAGTTAGACAGGGGGGAGAATCTGCCCCCCAGCAGGGCGCGTATGGCTGAATAGCCCAGCGGGGCGCGGGTTAAGTCACCGATATCAAGCTTCCGAAACATACATCTCATACACACTGTTACCCTTATCAATTGTTGAAAGCGTAGTGGGAGCATTGAGTGTGGGAGGCTGTCGCATCAGCGCCGCGGGCAGCATCGGCCGGCCGCCGACTGCCCTGTCCTCTCCGGGGTGGACGGAGACCCACGTCTGGGATACGAGCGTCCCCGGCGGCCGTTTGTCCCAGTTCTGGGGCCATGCCAGCGCGTCGGACGGCACGGAGGGGAGTCGGGTCGTAGCCATGTGACTGCACTAAGGTCGTTCGATGAATACAGATTGACTTGGAGAAGACAACCTTTCACAGAAAGTTTAAAGGCGATGGTTCATTGGGTGTACAGTGGATCTTATTAGGATCTCCAGACGTAACTAGATGGCGTTGAGCCTTAGTCGAGTCCATGTCAAATTCAAGGAGAGGTCACTACCGAGCTGGGCCCGTTGGGGAGGTGGGCGGGGAGGGGGGGGGGGCGGGTGGCGAGGTCACTGTGCGGGTGACCTGTCAAACAGCCCCGGCGCGGTGGGGCACTGCCGCAGGCAAATGGCCCACTCCAGTGTTGTTCCATATCGCGGTAGTGGGCCGGGCGGCCGGTTAGCTTGGCAGCTTGGAAGGAAAGGATAATGAGGCATGGTTTTGCTGTGGCCGGTTCACCTACTGTTACTTATGATGCACCCAGAGTAATGCAAATGTCGCGTTGATAATGCAGCTGGCAATGGAATGCTAGCGAATGCTCCGAGCGCCTAGCTATAAGGATTAATATTATCTATGTCTCCTGAAATTTTCATTGAATATAATTCAAGCACTAGAAAGATCGTATTCGTTCCCCAGTTTTTTGACCGGCTGGCGTTTCTTGCGTAGAGCGCCCTTGGGCAAATATTTAGGTATAACGCAGGTGATTTTTTTTTTTGCTGGTAAGACGCCTTTAGGGTCAAATCAAGCAGTGGCGGCGGAACACCTTTAATGAAGTGGGGGCACTGCCGACTTTTGGTCCCATTCTTTCCATGCAACGCCCATAGGGCTAATGTTAAAATGCCAAAAATCAAGCGGGGGCACGGTGCCCCGATGCCCCCCCCCCCGTTCCGCCACCACTGAAATAAAGTCGCTAAGAGATGATGAGGAAAAGTGGACGAACGCCACAATTCTGTGCATGAAGTCTCGAGTTATAAAAAGCTAAAAGTTATTATACGTGTAAGCTAAAAAAACAATAAGATCAGTTAATAAAAATATTTGACCCGAAATTAACTTCTGTTTTGTCTTACCATGATTGCATGTATGACCCCAGTCCTGCCTGGTTCAACTCGGCCCAACCTGGTTCGGCTCCCTCTTTTTTTTATATAAATTTGGCCCGAACCTTTTGAATGGAAGGAATCACAAGGACAGAGTCCCCGCTAAGCTGAGCTTGTCAAGTGTTGACCCTGCCATCTACCCTCCGATCAAGCAATTCCTGGTCCATTGCAGACTATGGTTTTGAGGTTTAGTCTATGGCAAAATGGTCTATGGTTTAGAGTCCAAATTTTAACGTGCGCACATAGCCGCGCACGGCCGGTCCCCTCACTGACTTCGCCTGGCAGCGGGCTGCCACCAACCACAACCATACCCGTCAGGAGGCTAAAAAAACTCAAGCACACGTCGTGTTTCGAACCCGGACTTTTGCAACCGGGACGTGCGCATTCACCACATGGCACATGGAGTCTAACGCTCTACCGACCAAGCTACCGGGACGGACATTTACCTCGGGGTTTCGCCTCGTGACATTGACAGACGTCAGACACTTTGGCCGAACTTTAGCCGAAATACTGAGCAAGCTGCGCAGGGCGATAGGTGCTCGTAGCGTTGAGGTTGGGTAACCTGTGAGCTGAACGCGATGTCGTGAGTTCGAGCCCCACTCCCGGGTCTGGTTTTATCTAGACACTACCAAACCCTTTCCTTCTACTGCAACACAGCTAAGCACGATGACATCTTTCCCCAATATCCTCCCCAAAAGTCAAAATTATCGCTTATAAACGTTTAGCTAAATTTCATTTTTAGGAAAATATTTTTGGTCATTTGTCTGGAGCCATTTCAACTCTTTTTTCTTTTCTGATTCTTTTCGACCCGATAAAACCCACCAAAACTGAACGTGCCAAATGAAAAATATCGAACTCAAATAACAGTTTAGAAAAGCCTCATCATGCATCATGAAAAGCATCATGCAACTATCGACTGAAAAGTTGCATGCTATGAATACGTCCTAGATTTCAATTATCATTGTTCAACATTTTGGCTGGAACTGACGCTACCTCTGGCTTGCCCGTTTGTTTGAGATAATGATTCCCTTCAGTCGCGTTCTTGCCGGTTCCACATGAACAGGATACTGCACCATACCGGAGTGAACGCACCCGCAACCATCATCCCCTCCCCTCAGCCTCGGCGCAGTGGCGGGCGGCCCTGGGCGGCCACTCCCGGCGCTACGCACACCCCATGCGTCGTGATACCGCGTCACTCCCCCTCCCTCCTTCCCCCACAATGACCGGTGACCTCACTTCCCTCGGGATTTGGACTCGCCCTACCCCGACCGTAGCGCCACGTGGTGGCTCTGGAGTAGAGATGCCCTTTTTGAACCCGCGAACCCGCTTTCTGCGGGTTTTCAAAACCCGCAGGGTTTTTGGCGGGTTCGAGAAGCAAAACTTGTCGTGTGGCGGGTATTTGGCGGTCAGACTTAAGAACCTATAATTTTTTTATTTTTTTTTAGATGCAAAACACAATGCCAAGTGCATTTGCTCAGGTTAACAATACAATATTCATCAAAACAACTTTTAAAACAGAACCAAATATAAAAATATATCAAGGAAGCACATTTCAAATGCAAAACTGAAAACAACCAGCAATAGCATCCACAGTCTGGCAATGACCAAACCAGGGTACAAGCAATAAACCACTAATAAGCATAAATAAATGCTGATGAAAGCATTCCATAAAACATAAAAGACCCTGAAAGCAAACTTATAGGAAGCTGGACTGAAGTCTATGTGCACTGTGCAGTGTGCACTAGATATACATTATGGAAGAACCCAGACTTAAATGAGATGTTGAAAATCAGAGCAAATGCCACATGTTACTTTATTTGCGTCTGGTCGGCATAAAAAAGAGCTATCAGCTAAACAAAATTTGATGCAAATTCATTGATTACCTATCCTACTCTATGTTCTGTTCCACCCTATATTACGAAAATAACACACCAATTACCCTTACAAAAAATCAAAACATAGACTGGCCGGCCCAAACATAACGCAATACAATACTGGCGCACTTCCGACATTCGGACAAGGATTGGCATTTGACTGCGTCAATTTTGGTCTCTGAGGCGAAGGAAAGCTGTCATTGATGACGCAATAATTTTCAATCAGTTTTTCTGTCTTGGTTTTTGAATGCCTCAAAATAGCAGTTATACATGTTACAAAACCACGTAGCTGGTCGCATTTATTTCTTTTGTCTGTTTACGTCCTTATCATTTGTATGCCGACAGATGACCAGCCGGAGAGCATTACCAAGACCATCTATAAAATCATTACATTTAATTTAGCATTTACTGTCTCTTTATTTCTAAACCGGTGATTAACCTCTGAATTGTAAAACTTTAGCTGTTGTGTAAAATAATTTAATCAGAATGGCACATGAATATGCATTATACAACAGTGTTTTCGCAACAAGTTCGACTAACTACGGCCGCAATAATTTAGTCGCTGTAACATTCCTTGCAATCAGCTGTTGGTGACGCTTCTGACGCATGTTTCCAGAAATGCGTGGTTCATTGGTGGTTAGTTGCAAGGCCATGTATGTTATTATAGTTGGTTTTTGCTGGGATTTTGCATGATTTGTTTTATGTGTAGATCGACTGGATACTCATTATTCACTGTGTCACTATTTATTTTTAACTGGAAATCGCATATCTTTTTATATCAACATTCATTTTGATAACAATATCATTCCAGAGTGAGAGGCCTAACATTGAGAGGGAGCCAGAGTGAAATTTTGATCCTCAGCCAATGCTGAAGGGTAAGGTGAGAGAAAGATTTTACTGAACTCTTCAGAAAGGAATTTCAAATGTATTGATGCATTATTCATTTTCCACTATCCAGTGTGCACTTCCTGAGGACTTAGCATAGCAATTTCAAGTCCTTACTATTTGTTTGGCTGTCTTTTTCTGCACAGCAATGAAGCAAGTAAGGTTTATATAGCTCTAGCATTGACTCAGCTGTATTTTTTTTCTTGCAAAAGTATGTTTTTAAGATTGCGGGTTTTTTGCGGGTTCGGCTCAGCCAAAATCAGCTTGCGGGTAGTTGTGGTTGGGCAAGGGGTAGCTGCGGGGCGGGGCGGGTAATGAAATTGCAAATTTGGGGCATCTCTACTGGAGATCTTAAATAGACCCACTGTACATAGCTATAACGTCTAACGAGCATTCTAACTTTTCAGAGGTGAGGTGACCGGAGACAGATAACCTCACCTTGAGCTGTCTGCACTGCAAAAATATGTTTACTAATTTCCTTGTTATCCCGTACCCGGCCACTTTTCACTAACAAAATGCGAGTTGACTTGAAGCCTACTCGCATTTTGTTAGTAAAGTGAAGTCTGCTCGCATTTTGCTAGTGAAAAGTGGCCGGAAGAAATTAGTAAACATTTTTACAGTGTGGGTCTGGCATTTTGACAACATGCACGGAAAAGATGAATAAACAGGTGTATCAAAAACCGCCGCCGCCGTTTTCGAGATATCCTTGGAAGCCCGCAGGGTTGCCCGAACAGCCCCCGGCTCGGTGCGTGCTAACACAGCCATAGCATGTCGTAAAACACAAAATCAGTGTGTCTTCGAGACAAAAGTCAATTTGTTTCCGGTGCAGAGTGGCTCACCTCGGAGGTGCCGATACAGCTGCCCAGTGCGCTGTCCTTCCGTCCGTAGATACGGCCGTACGAGTCCTGGATCCAGTTGTACCGTCGGCCCGTGTTGGGGTCAGCGTTGTACAGCGTGGCCGCCGACATGACATAGCGACCCAGAAAATATGTGAGGTGAGATTAGAAAAGAACTTTCCAAACCACCACTGTCCACTGTTTGACAGTTTCATAATCCATAACATTGATAATGTAAAAAGCTACCAGGTCTCTTGTTCCAGTTCTGCCTCACAACCATGGCAATGATTTTGCTCTATATATGTCTACGACTCTACACAGTCTGGTTCGTTTTCTCTTCGTGTAGCTATCTAGCCCCTTGCAGCTGGTCGCTCAACCATAGATATTTATTGAAGTGCTTACAGACAAAACCTAGTGCAGGGTCCTTAGTGGCCCAAGTGCAACATAAACCTCATGATGGTCCAGCTTCCAGGATTCTTGAGGTCCCTCAACAAAATGGTGGTGTAGGTCCAGACCGTTCTCCTAAGATCCCATGACAAATAATAAAACTGGTACTGAAGGTCTGCATTCTGCAGGGTCTTGCAGCATACCAAAATTTTGAGGTCCTAACCCCTGGGTTTCCATGGTTTTACGGCATATGAAATGTTGAGGTCCTGGGTTTCTAAGGTCTCATGTCACATGAAATGTTGATGTCCTGGGATTCCAAGGTCTCACGGCATATGCAAATGTTGAGGTCCTGGGATTCCAAGGTCTCGCGACATATGCAAATGTTGAGGTCCTGGGATTCCAAGGTCTCGCAGCATATGGATGTTTTAAGGTCCTGGGATTCCAAGGTCTCGCGGCATATGGATGTTTTAAGGTCCTGGGTTTCCAAGGTCTCGCGACAAAAATGACAATGCAAGGTCCAGGATCCATCAAGGTCCCAGACCTTGGACTCTGCGAACCCTGGATCTCGGATCTTTTTGGGACCTTGGCACAAGTCTGGTTAAGAGTCATTAAAAATTGACCCTAGGTCAAGGTCATGACCTGACCGAAAAATGTCATGATGCATATCAGTCGGTCCATATCGTTGAGCTGAAGACATCTGACGTGTTTTCATCGCTCTAGCATTTCTCTATCAAAAGTTAGTGTAAAAAACTGCTGGGGACCTTTCATGACCTGGGATAACCTGCGGGGCACAAAAGAGGGGTCACGGTTACAATTTTCCGATTTAGTGTGTCATGTTTACCTGTAAAATGATGTTTGATATAAGTGCTTATAGTGGCATTCGTCCAAAAGAGGCGTATTTTCCAAAATTTTCAAAAAACCAAGATAATCATTTGATAGATAAAGTAGAATCACGTATAACCTTTTTGTTACGTCTTGATTCCTTTAAAAATGAAGACCCAGTAAACATGCCGACGTCGGCCCGACGTCGGCCGACGTCGGGGTGACGTCGGCAACTCGGCATCAGCATGCCGACGTCGGCCCGACGTCGGTCCAACCTCGGCACGACGTCGGCTGGATGTCGGATATGCCCGCATGTTCCGACGTCCAGCCGAGGTCCAGCCGACGTCGGACCGACGTCGGACCGAGATAAATTGCTGAGGTCCAGCCGACGTCGGGCCGACGTCGGGGCGACGTCGGACCGACATCGGCCGCTATTTTGACCGTTAAAATAATATAAAATACATGTTTCATGGTTCATAAAGAGCTTCTGTATTCAAAATATCCTCAGGAAACTCAAATCTTCCTCCACGCCGCAACCCCCTGATCCGGACTGGACGGGAAACTTTATCCCATTTGGGATTGCCCGTAAGCCGAGCTCGCCCGTAGCCGGGTGCGGTGAGTGCTTGGGGGCTGCTCGGCCTATCCTTTGGTCAGGCTCAGCCCCGGCAACTCACCAGGGCCGGGCCCAGTTCATATAGAAAGGCCAGTCGGCAAGTGTCACTTTGCCAAAGTGCCACTTATCAAAGGGACACTTTGGGAAACGTTGGTGCAGGTGTGTAAGAGTGGCTATATGAATCCATTGTGGGGTCGCCCTTTCCAAAAAGTGTCACGTAACAGCAATGGGACCATGGACTCTATATGAACTGGACCCAGGGTGCTCGCCAAGAAGACCAATGTCTCCATCCTATGATCATTCCGGCTCTGAAATGGTCTTGTCAGACCGAAAGGGCATAACGCAACAAAACAAAACGATTTCGTTAGCTGGCTGCGTGGTGTAGTGGTTAGCGCGCTAACCTCGCGTTCGAATGACACGGGGTTCGAATCCCATCGCCGGCTGACGCTTTTGACGTGTTGTCCCAGTAAACATGCCGACGTCGGCGACTGGGGGGCTCGAATCCCGCCGCCGGTTGATATTTTTGGCGCGTTGTCCCCATTAACATGCCGACGTCGGCCCCGTCGGCCCAACGACAAACGATCTCGTCAACCTCGGCAAACGATCTCGGCCCGACGTCGGCTCGACGTCGGCTGGACTTCGGCTGGACGTCGGAACATGCGGGCATATCCGACGTCCAGCCGATGTCGGGCCGAGGTTGAACCGACGCTGGGCCGACGTCGGGCCGAGCCTCGGCCCGACGTCGGGCCGACGTCGTCATGTTTACTGGGGATGTAAGCGGCGTTTGAAATTTTGCCGTTTTTGAGGCGAAAATGGCGAACATGACGTCACTAAAAAGTAATTTTCTCAAAAATTTCCGACGGATTTCGCTCAAATTTTCAGAAAACGTCTTAAATTGATGTATGATAAGGTACTGAAAGTTTGACGTCGCTGGCGTAACCCGCTTAGAAGTTATTGGCGAAAAACGGGAGGGGGCAGATTCTGCCCCTCCCCCCCCCCCCCCCCCAGCGGGGCGCGGGTTAAATGACACTGTTCTGATTTTTTTACAACATATTTCGAAAATATTATGATAAATATTTGCAAAAAACTGGGGGGGGGGGGGTAAAAAAGACCTCCTCCTCCACTCCAGCACGGCGCGAGTTAGGTTCTCGGTCATGATTGGTTGACCTTCCAGGTCAGGTCAATGGCCCAGAAGCTGGAGAAATTTGGACCTGTTAGAAACTCGTAAAGTGAGGCCGAAAGGTTTTTTCAGGCTTCTGATCTTGAATTTCATTGAGTTTTGATCAAATAATATTTCATGCATTTCGGCCAAGTCAGGTCAGGTCAGGTCAGGTCAACCAGTAGGCGTCCTGCCGGCTATCTACACGAGGTGTCAACCGCCACTGACAGCTTCGTAATATGTTACGAAGGCGCCAAAACTTCTCCGTAATTGTTTAAATGGGAATTCGAAATCAGCTCCAAAAACTACCCTAGTAACATGTAAAACTCGAAAAAGTGAACCATGGTCATTAAAGGTCAATGTCCTGGACCTGACCTTCAAGTGACCTTAACACTCACCATAATGCATGGGACCAACATCATTTCACACGTTTGAGCGCTTAGACTGGAAACACGTTGGTAATGTGAGCCGATATTCGCCGAGTCGCGATTCCGGCCAAACACGGTCTGGATGGTCACAACTCACAGGTCAAAGGTCATTTGGGTCAGGGTCATGAAATGTTTAAAGTAGGTGACCAGATGTAAAATTGACCAGCTTGAGAGTACTGAAAGTTTCGTCGCAATCGGCTGCTCTTTGCGCGAGGTATTTGCGAAAAACTGAGGGGGTACGTTCGATTCCCATTTTAAATGCGAGGGCTAATCCCAGACCGTCACCGCCTTTCACAACTGCTCGTTTACGTTTGCCACCTTGTTACCCGCATACGTTTGCACTCTCGAGATCCGCAGCGGCATTATTTGGGTAGGTAACATTTTCATTTTAGCTCGATAAATATCATGAGAGATTTCTTTTCGGGAACGGGTGCTGGTTTCTGCCTCACACCACGATTTGGCGGTACTTTGCTGACCGGTTTGAGGTGCCTCGTTTCTCCGCAACTGACCTTTGAACTCGTGATGTCGAAGTCGGAGCACACTGTGTTGCAGATCCAACTCCGCGACCAGTCTGACTTTCTCTTTAGATACCACTCGTTCTCCAAGTAGCCCTGCAGTAGAGTTCTGCACGGCTGCAATTTTCCACAGCCTAGCCGCCCCGCAGCCGTGGCTCCACAGCCACAGCCGCCCACAGCCGTGGCAAACTGTGGGCAGCCAGCCGTCAGCCGGCCGTGGATACTTTCAATGAAATGCAACCAAATAGTATATAATATGTTATTTTTAGTTGAAACATATAGCCAAAAGCACATTGCAATGGGCTATAGATTCTCAAGCTCATGAAGCATCATAGGTTAAGTGGTTGTGTATCTGGATTTAGGCCGAAGGCCTGAAGCCTGATGCGCATCGCATGCCTACACAAGCCCTTGCAAGGGGTTAAGAAAGATGGGTAGGTAGGTACCTACATCAACAGAAAACATAAACAACGAACCAGAATAGAAGCACTAGCAGTGTAGACATCTAATACCAAATCCTGAAGCATGGTTGTGGGACAGAACAACAAACCCTGATGCTTTTCATTATCAATGTTAGGTATGGAAAATGAAACTGAAGTTGATGGACTGTCAAACAGTGATTGTCTAGTCAAAACTCTTGCTTCTTTCTTACCTTGCATATTTTCTGGGGTGTGATATGCCAGGCTTGAAGCAGCCTTCTGAGCAAGTCTCAAACTGATTTGATATGCAAGGCATCAAAACACTTTACACTAGTGAGCATCCAAGAAAGAAAAATATTCATCTATTTTGATTTTTCCAAATAATGATCTTCGCTCAAATCCCCAAGGACGTCCGAGCCACAATTGCCTCTTTCAATCAAAAATTTTGCTTGAGTTTTTAATGACGTCAATAACAAAGAAGTGGCAATACATTGTTTTGTTTCAATATAAACAGCCATAAAATTTATAATTAATAAATAATAATAATGATATACAGTTCAAAACTTGCTCTTTAACAAAGATTAATTATCAAATTTTTACATTTTTAGAAAAAGACGTCATTTTATAAGTAAAGTCAACAGCTCGCGTAACAAATAATGTGTTCAGGGTTTTCACCGTCATGTGAATTACGTGTTCAGGGTTTTCACCATCATGTGAATTAACCGTAAGTAAGGTTCATGCTCACTTATAATCTAATTCCATTGGCTTCGTTGATCAGCATTTTCTGTTAGCGGTCACCCACAGACCAGTTAGAACATAAAGCGCCAGTTATATATTATGTAATTGGACTTGCCGAAAATCCAGAAATACATCTAAGAGTTATTTTAGCTATTTTATGAAGCCTTTACCTGCCTTTACCTAGGCGTGATTTCTTTTTCTATTACCTGAAAGAATTATTGAACGCTCGTCTTCAATAGCTGTAAGGTGCTCTCCTAATGACCAGGTGAGATTGATTTGAGAGGGATGTGACAGTGCAACATGTTGCATTTTCTGAAACTGTCAAGCTCTTGATGATGAAGGAACAATTGGTACCAATAATTAGTATTCTGTACCAGAGTGCAAACTCCCCTACAGCAAATGGTAAAACCACTACAGGTTTTCAAAGGCTTCACCACTTTCAATGTTGCTGGGCATCCTTTGCATGATTTTTACAGGCTAGACTGCTTATCAGAATGTAAGATTAAGGATTTAAAATTTTATATTTGAGTACTTTAGATTGAGCTTGAAATCTCACAGCCGTGGCCACAGCCGTAGCCGTGTTCTTGGAGATATTTGCAGCCGCCCCGGCCCACAGCCGTGGGGCTGCAGCCAGCCGCGGCTGCAGCCGGCCGGTGCAGACCTCTACCCTGCAGCAGCGCTGTGACCTCCTCGAAGGTGGCGCCGCGCCGGTGGGGTGCAGGGTCGCAGCGCCAGAACAGCGAGTCCAGGTGCCGCAGCGCCAGGCTGACCTCCTCTGCCAGTTTGGCAGAGGTGGCCTTGTAGTTGTCGGTGAAATGCTGTGCCTCGACCAGAAACGAGCCTGCAAGAGAACAATACCTATCAATATAGTGCGGGCTCCTTATGTTCTGTTGGTCGACATATGGTCGGAGCGGATGGCTACCGAGATAGCATAGTTTTAGCCACCAATCCCGTTTTTCAAGGTTTAATGTAACAGCCAGCAGCCACCGAGTGCTCCTACCTTAACGTTTCGCGTGCTTACATCCCTTTATCACATTTTCACTTCGTCACCATCCGTCCCGTCGATTCAAACCTCAGGACAGTCACATCCTTTTCCTCCACGCCGCAACCCCTGATCCGGGCTGGACGGGCAACCTTATCCCAACCTTATTCGGACGGGCTCAGTCCCGGTGACTCTCTAGGGTGCCCGCCCAGACCAATATCTCCCCTAATTTCTATCATCCTCCCGGCTGTGCAACAGTCACATTTGACCGAAAGGAGCCTAACCCAACAAAACAAAACAAAACAAACTTCGTCACCTTACCGTAATAACTTACCACTATTTTTGTGTCACCGTGTGTACCTTTATCAAAGAGTCGAAGCAGCATATAGGCAAACTGGGTCATCACGTAGTCTCTGGCGAGTACGGTGGTCACCATGTGGTAGAGGTGGTAGACCATCTGCTGAGGGGACGTCCCCAGCCGGCACACCGTGCCACGAGACGCCTGCAAACGCGGCCGGCATTAAAGCGTTAGCCATATCAATGGCAGACATAAAAAGCCGTGCACCCACATATGCTCTTCAACTCATGACCTATTGGTGCATCAGTGACACTTGCACTTGTTCCCATTCGGGGGGGGGGGGGGCACGTTTTCATTCGGGGACCAGTTGGGCCGATCGCCCCTGAAACTGGTGCCTAGGGTACAGCTCGGAGCTAGGAGCCAACAGTTCGAAGGGCGCCACGCACAAATCTGCCGGGGCACTCATCTGGCACGTGCACAAGTGTGCCAGCGCTATTTCACTCGCTCGTTTGCCGCCCGGCCTAAGAACGGAATATCTAGCCAATTATGATTTGCTCACCGATGCACCTATCTAGTATGAACTTACCTTCCTACCGGTAGTCCTTCGCTCTCACCTCTACTACAGACTGGAATTGCCTGAAGAGGCTCTGCTTGATGGTGTATCGCCTTTGTCGGCCATTTCTAATGGTGGTCCGTCCGCCACCTTTAGTGACGAAAGGTGCTGCCCTGCTAGACCACAGGGGTGTACGAGTCTCCAGTACTACGTCCCGGAGCCTGTACATTGTCGTCTGTAGCGATCGAGGAGCGTGGGACACCGCGTTGGTGGCGAAATCCAGCAGCGTCGAGTTCTCCACAGTGCTGGCGTTCCTCTGATACAACAGGAATCGGTCGTAGTTGCTAGAGAGAGAGAGAGGGGAGAGAGAGAGAGAGAGAGAGAGAGAGAGAGGGAGAGAGGGAGATAGAAAGAGAGAGAGAGGGAGATAGAAAGAGAGAGGGAGAGAGTGAGAGAGAGAGAGAGAGAGAGAGAGAGAGAGAGAGAGAGAGAGAGAGAGAGAGAGAGAGAGAGAGAGGGAGAGAGGGAGAGTGAAACATTGACTCGAAACCAGAATCAATCGGTATCAATAGGTGCGTACTTTTGTCTCCAAACCTGCATCTGCATCCTTATGCAGATGACCTGTTTCATTTATCATGTTGATGACCTGACACGTTAGTCTGTCGGTGATAGGCTGACACGTTAGTCTGTCGGTGACCTGACACGTTAGTCTGTCGGTGACCTGACACGTTAGTCTGTCGGTGACCTGACACGTTAGTCTGTCGGTGACCTGACACGTTAGTCTGTCGGTGACCTGACACGTTAGTCTGTCGGTGAGGCTGACACATTAGTCTGTCGGTGACCTGACACGTTAGTCTGTCGGTGAGGCTGACACATTAGTCTGTCGGTGAGGCTGACACGTTAGTCTGTCGGTGACCTGGCACGTTAGTCTGTCGGTGATAGGCTGACACGTTAGTCTGTCGGTGACCTGACACGTTAGTCTGTCGGTGACCTGACACGTTAGTCTGTCGGTGAGGCTGACACATTAGTCTGTCGGTGACCTGACACGTTAGTCTGTCGGTGAGGCTGACACATTAGTCTGTCGGTGAGGCTGACACGTTAGTCTGTCGGTGACCTGGCACGTTAGTCTGTCGGTGATAGGCTGACACGTTAGTCTGTCGGTGACCTGACACGTTAGTCTGTCGGTGACCTGACACGTTAGTCTGTCGGTGAGGCTGACACATTAGTCTGTCGGTGACCTGACACGTTAGTCTGTCGGTGAGGCTGACACATTAGTCTGTCGGTGAGGCTGACACATTAGTCTGTCGGTGACCTGACACGTTAGTCTGTCGGTGACCTGACACGTTAGTCTGTCGGTGAGGCTGACACATTAGTCTGTCGGTGAGGCTGACACGTTAGTCTGTCGGTGACCTGACACGTTAGTCTGTCGGTGACCTGACACGTTAGTCTGTCGGTGACCTGACACGTTAGTCTGTCGGTGACCTGACACGTTAGTCTGTCGGTGAGGCTGACACATTAGTCTGTCGGTGACCTGACACGTTAGTCTGTCGGTGAGGCTGACACATTAGTCTGTCGGTGAGGCTGACACGTTAGTCTGTCGGTGACCTGGCACGTTAGTCTGTCGGTGATAGGCTGACACGTTAGTCTGTCGGTGACCTGACACGTTAGTCTGTCGGTGACCTGACACGTTAGTCTGTCGGTGAGGCTGACACATTAGTCTGTCGGTGACCTGACACGTTAGTCTGTCGGTGAGGCTGACACATTAGTCTGTCGGTGAGGCTGACACGTTAGTCTGTCGGTGATAGGCTGACACATTAGTCTGTCGGTGATAGGCTGACACATTAGTCTGTCGGTGACCTGACACGTTAGTCTGTCGGTGAGGCTGACACGTTAGTCTGTCGGTGACCTGACACGTTAGTCTGTCGGTGACCTGACACGTTAGTCTGTCGGTGAGGCTGACACATTAGTCTGTCGGTGACCTGACACGTTAGTCTGTCGGTGAGGCTGACACATTAGTCTGTCGGTGAGGCTGACACGTTAGTCTGTCGGTGACCTGGCACGTTAGTCTGTCGGTGACCTGACACGTTAGTCTGTCGGTGACCTGACACGTTAGTCTGTCGGTGAGGCTGACACATTAGTCTGTCGGTGACCTGACACGTTAGTCTGTCGGTGAGGCTGACACATTAGTCTGTCGGTGAGGCTGACACGTTAGTCTGTCGGTGACCTGGCACGTTAGTCTGTCGGTGATAGGCTGACACGTTAGTCTGTCGGTGACCTGACACGTTAGTCTGTCGGTGACCTGACACGTTAGTCTGTCGGTGAGGCTGACACGTTAGTCTGTCGGTGACCTGACACGTTAGTCTGTCGGTGACCTGACACGTTAGTCTGTCGGTGAGGCTGACACATTAGTCTGTCGGTGAGGCTGACACGTTAGTCTGTCGGTGACCTGGCACGTTAGTCTGTCGGTGATAGGCTGACACGTTAGTCTGTCGGTGACCTGACACGTTAGTCTGTCGGTGACCTGACACGTTAGTCTGTCGGTGAGGCTGACACATTAGTCTGTCGGTGAGGCTGACACGTTAGTCTGTCGGTGACCTGGCACGTTAGTCTGTCGGTGATAGGCTGACACATTAGTCTGTCGGTGACCTGACACGTTAGTCTGTCGGTGAGGCTGACACATTAGTCTGTCGGTGAGGCTGACACGTTAGTCTGTCGGTGACCTGACACGTTAGTCTGTCGGTGAGGCTGACACGTTAGTCTGTCGGTGACCTGACACGTTAGCCTGTCGGTGACCTGACACGTTAGCCTGTCGGTGACCTGACACGTTAGTATGTCGGTGACCTGACACGTTAGTATGTCGGTGACCTGACACGTTAGTCTGTCGGTGATAGGCTGACACATTAGTCTGTCGGTGACCTGACACGTTAGTCTGTCGGTGACCTGACACGTTAGTCTGTCGGTGAGGCTGACACGTTAGTCTGTCGGTGAGGCTGACACGTTAGTCTGTCGGTGACCTGGCACGTTAGTCTGTCGGTGATAGGCTGACACGTTAGTCTGTCGGTGACCTGACACGTTAGTCTGTCGGTGAGGCTGACACATTAGTCTGTCGGTGACCTGACACGTTAGTCTGTCGGTGAGGCTGACACATTAGTCTGTCGGTGAGGCTGACACGTTAGTCTGTCGGTGAGGCTGACACATTAGTCTGTCGGTGAGGCTGACACGTTAGTCTGTCGGTGACCTGACACGTTAGTCTGTCGGTGACCTGACACGTTAGTCTGTCGGTGAGGCTGACACATTAGTCTGTCGGTGACCTGACACGTTAGTCTGTCGGTGAGGCTGACACATTAGTCTGTCGGTGAGGCTGACACATTAGTCTGTCGGTGACCTGACACGTTAGTCTGTCGGTGACCTGACACGTTAGTCTGTCGGTGAGGCTGACACATTAGTCTGTCGGTGAGGCTGACACGTTAGTCTGTCGGTGACCTGACACGTTAGTCTGTCGGTGACCTGACACGTTAGTCTGTCGGTGACCTGACACGTTAGTCTGTCGGTGAGGCTGACACATTAGTCTGTCGGTGACCTGACACGTTAGTCTGTCGGTGAGGCTGACACATTAGTCTGTCGGTGAGGCTGACACGTTAGTCTGTCGGTGACCTGGCACGTTAGTCTGTCGGTGATAGGCTGACACGTTAGTCTGTCGGTGACCTGACACGTTAGTCTGTCGGTGACCTGACACGTTAGTCTGTCGGTGAGGCTGACACATTAGTCTGTCGGTGACCTGACACGTTAGTCTGTCGGTGAGGCTGACACATTAGTCTGTCGGTGAGGCTGACACGTTAGTCTGTCGGTGATAGGCTGACACATTAGTCTGTCGGTGATAGGCTGACACATTAGTCTGTCGGTGACCTGACACGTTAGTCTGTCGGTGAGGCTGACACGTTAGTCTGTCGGTGACAGGCTGACACCTCACCTGTTGACGTCCATCAGCAGCTCTTCCAGCGTCTCCACGGTGAGCTCCCAGCTGACCCGGAGACCGACCGACTCCAAGTCTCGCAGCGCCGTCATCACCAAATTCACATCGTTCTTGAGGTCCCGAGAGCTGATGGCCACAGTGGAACAAAAGACTATTTTAACGGAAAATATATCATCGATGAGCAATAGGAGATACCTATATTCGCATATAAGCGGTTGGTGTGATTTTCGACATTTTTTTACGTGAATATCTACATTATAAAGTAGAACGAACGCAGACATCTTGCACATCGGCACTCTGTTCAATAGCATATACTCGTACATCCGAGTATAGTAGAATGTATATGCTTCTCACGATATGAAGCAATTAAATGCAATACAATCATACGGGTCACATAACGACTGTGCTGATATGAATCACGGTCCACACTATCGCGACTCGACCACATAAATACAAGTAGGCTCACATGTTGTCGAAGTGTCGTAGCAGCTCCTGATGCTTGTTGCCGTCGGTCAGACTGGATAGCGTGCTCCCAATGCCCACCAGTTTTCCGATAATGTCTAGCGCTGACGGCACGCGGTTATAAAGGGTTAATAGCAGATAACGAAAGGAAGAAACTGAAGAGGTCGAGCAGCCGCGCCAGTCTCGTACAAATCGAAACATAGTTAGATCAGTAGAACTTCAGTGGTTGATATGGCATGGTCCGCAGCTATGATCATTCCTACATGTATATGTTACCTTGTTTACTACAAACAGCCTCGTATTATTTCTCGTTAGAGAGCTTGTGTGGTGTCCTACTTACACCAGGGAGACGGCGCTGCACCGTCCACGGCGCCACCTGCGACCAATATAGGTAGTATCATAGATAACATGAACTACCTGGATTGGACACTCGTTTTTGGCGCGAAAAATAAGAGGCCACTTTGGCCTCTTATTTTTAATGACAGATTTTTAATCAGTATTTTGAGAGGCTGATATCTCAGCAACCGCTGGGCCGATTCACCTGCGGTCTTTTTTGTTGGGTAGCTCCATCCTTTCCGCCCCGCAATTCACTTATCGTGATGCATTCAGGTGACCGTCGTGGCACGTGGCACGTGAAAAGTCGGGGTGTTCAAGTCGTTCTGCTGGAGTAACAATTTCGAGAGGCCTATATCTCAGTAACCACTGGGGCGATTGACTTGCGGTAACTTTTGTAGAGTAGCTGTATCCCTTCTAACAAGCATTAGATACTCTTGGTGCACGTGAGTGACCTCCGCTACACGTGCAAAGTGCAAAAAACAGAAGAGGTGTTAAATTTGTTCCTATTACAGTAACTCAGCAACTACTGGGGCGATTTCGCTGAGACTTGGCAATCATGTAGGCAGTAGGCACCCACCGGGCAATGCATACCTATCCGTATGTCATGGCTGGGGTGCTATTGCACGTGCGCACGTGCAGGCCTGCAGGGTCGCTTCCAGATATCGAGAACGGCTGGACCGAATGCGCTTAAATTTGGTACACGATTAGAGACCGGCGAGAAGGGTGCCGTGCAAAAGTCAGCTGGGACCCATATTGCACGTGCGCACGTGCAGGGTGCCGCTTCCAGATCTCGAGAACGGCTGGGCCGATTACGCTCAAATTTGGCACCTCGCAAGAGACCAGTAAGTAGAGTGCAGTGCACCGGGGAGGTTGTAGCTCTGCGCGTACTCACGTGCTCACGTGCACACCCCTCTGTCATATCTCAGGAACGGAGTGACCGATTACAATGAAATTTTGTGTGTGATTGGATGCTGACCGTGTATGAGTTTTTCTACGTCGATGAGGGTGAGGTAATGCACGTGCGCACGTGCAGGCGTCGCCTCTAGATCTCGAGAACGGCTGGACCGATTGCGCTCAAATATGTCACACGATTAGAGACCGTCGAGAAGGGTGCCTTGCGAAAGTCAGTTAGGACCCATATTGCACGTGCGCACGTGCAAGGTGCCGCTCCAACATCTGAAGAACGGCTGTGTCGATTGCAGTCATATTTGGCACATCGCAAGAGACCAGTAGGTAGGGTGCCGTGCACCGAGGAGCCTGTAGCTCTGCGCGTGCTCACGTGCGCACGTGCACACCCATCTGTCATATCTCAGGAACGGACGGACCGATTACATTGAAATTTTGTGTGTGATTGGATGCTGACCGTGTATGAGTTTTTTTAAGTCGACGAAGGTGTGCTAATGCACGTGCGCACGTGCACGAGCACACGCAACATTATCAGCTTAAAAACTGGAAGGCCGATTTCGATCAAATTTTCCGTGCGATTAGGGGATAAGACAACAAATTGCATTGACTGTGTGCATCAGAATAAGTGTGAATATGCACCACCACCAGCCTCTGCCCGTTTTTTAGCTCTAAAAATGGGTTGTGCACCTTCATATGTGCATACTCACACCCATTATGATGCACACAGTCAATGCACTTTAATATCTTATCCCTTAATCGCACGGCAAATTTGATCGAAATCGGCCTTCCAGTTTTTTAGCTGTTAATGTTGGGTGTGCACTTGCGCACATGCATATTCAGTGCTGGAGCACACAATAAATGCACTTTGTTATTTCCGAATCGCACACCAGCTTTTACTGAGATCGGCTTGTCCGCTTTTAGCTGTAAATATGGGGTGTGCGGTGTGCACGTGCGCACGTGCATTACCTCACCCTCATCGACTTAGAAAAACTCATACACGGTCAGCATCCAATCACACACAAAATTTCATTGTAATCGGTCACTCCGTTCCTGAGATATGACAGAGGGGTGTGCACGTGAGCACGTGAGCACGCGCAGAGCTACAACCTCCCCGGTGCACTGCACTCTACTTACTGGTCTCTTGCGAGGTGCCAAATTTGAGCGCAATCGGCCCAGCCGTTCTCGAGATCTGGAAGCGGCACCCTGCACGTGCGCACGTGCAATATGGGTCCCAGCTGACTTTTGCACGGCACCCTTCTCGCCGGTCTCTAATCGTGTACCAAATTTAAGCGCATTCGGTCCAGCCGTTCTCGATATCTGGAAGCGACCCTGCAGGCCTGCACGTGCGCACGTGCAATAGCACCCCAGCCATGACATACGGATATGCATTGCCCGGTGGGTGCCTACTGCCTACATGATTGCCAAGTCTCAGCGAAATCGCCCCAGTAGTTGCTGAGTTACTGTAAATAATGTAATAGGAACAAATTTAACACCTCTTCTGTTTTTTGCACTTTGCACGTGCAGCGGAGGTCACTCACGTGCACCAAGAGTATCTAATGTTTGTTAGAAGGGATACAGCCACTCTACAAAAGTTACCGCAAGTCAATCGCCCCAGTGGTTACTGAGATATAGGCCTCTCGAAATTGTTACTCCAGCAGAACGACTTGAACACCCCGACTTTTCACGTGCCACGTGCCACGACGGTCACCTGAATGCATCACGATAAGTGAATTGCGGGGCAGAAAGGATGGAGCTACCCAACAAAAAAGACCGCAGGTGAATCGGCCCAGCGGTTGCTGAGATATCAGCCTCTCAAAATACTAATTAAAAATTCGTCATTAAAAATAAGAGGCCAAAGTGGCCTCTTATTTTTCGCGCCAAAAACGAGTGTCCAATCCAGGTAGTTCATGTTATCTATGGATGATCTATGGTAGTATATACGTACATACCTGTTTTCAGACCGTTGGCGACGGCGGCTACTTTGCCGTCGGCTGCCCCCGGCAGTGTGATGGCGGCGGTCGCCAGCAGCAGCAGCACGGCGCGCGACTTCATTGCTGCCTGCACACTCTGGGCGAACAGCAAATGATCACAAACAATAGTACCTAGTGGAGCCTGTCATGACAGTGCGCAATGAACATAAGAACCGAACACCTTCCGAAATGGATTGTTATTTTCACCTGCCACCCAGTCAATCAAGGTGAAATCAGCCCATCGATCATTGTAACCTATGACCGGTGTCGTCTTTATGAAACATTTCACTTAGTAGTTGGTAGGGGAGAGTGGGGAAAGATGCCCAGGGTTTTGCTATGTCATATATTATTCGAAAATAACGATGGGAAAGCAAAAACTTTGAGTTTCAACGGAAGCCGACATCATTTTTCTCCAAAAATATTACACTTTCGTGCCCGAAACATTATAACTTTTTTTGCTATTAAGCATTTTCCTGAAGAAGTGAAAGGGGGCATCTTACCCCACAGGGTGGGAAAGACGCCCCCTGACGTTGGGAAAGATGCCCCCTGCACTATAAGTGACATAAATGGGCACGTGAATCGCCTGAACGAATAAGTAGTCCCTTCGAGCCTGCAGTAGACACCAAACGTCATCATAAGGGTCCTCAAAAGTAGTCGTAAAGGGCTTCAGAGGTCATCGTTAGGGCCATCATAGTCCAGCGCGGCCAAACAAGCCTCCGTGGTGGCGTTCGGAGACCACTGTGGGGCTCTTATAGGTCTTCATGATGCTTGAGGGCCCTCTAGCCCATCGTGGGGACCTCCGATGCCAGCGCGACCCGTGGGGCCAACGTGGGAGCCCTCAAAAGATGTCGTGAGGGCCCTGGAGCCAATAATGGGGCCCACATAGGCCGTCGTGAGGGCTCTCAGAGTCAGATGCCGCCCAAAAAGTCGTTATGTGGGCCGAGAGACCGGCATGGGGAGCACCCGACCGTACTGGACTCTCAATAGTCCCAGATCGGCTTTTGTCTACATCACAAGTATGTAATAAATGATTTGACGGGCTGTTTGAAGGACAGCCTAAGGATTTAGGGGGGCGTCTTTCCCCATCAGAACAGGGGGCATCTTACCCCAAGGTACCGAAGTAGCATTAAATCAGTACAATTTGTTAGCCATAAAACTACACCCTGAAACAAACTGTTTGGGACACAGTACACGCATGCTAATGTATCACGACTATAGCAAGGGACACAACAATTATTTACCTTCTTTGATATTTACAATGTTTTGACACCAAAATATTTTTTGAAAGCAGCAAATAAAAAACATGCAATCATCAGCCAGCCGTTGCCCAGCTGAGCTTCGCAGATTTTTGTGCAGTTAACAAGGCAGGCTTCCGCTTTACGCTAAGAACATTAATTTCCAGGTCCGATTCTTTGTTTCGCCGCTAGAGGGGAGGGGTCTTTCCCACCCTTGGCATCTTACTCCACTCTCCCCTACACTTTCTGCCTTCTGGTGGGACCAATTCAGAAACCCTTGACATCTCGAGAAATGCGAGGTAGCCGGTAATAAGTGTCGCGACTGGACACTTTCTAATTTTGAGTGTTGTCGCCATGTCGAACCCAATTTAGGGAACATTGCATTGAAATGTCTATTTACCGTTTCAGGTGGCCGTCTATTTGCCTCTTTTCCAGTCACCTCATAAGACCATCCACTGACCTGGTAGCTGCAGTGTGTGGCGGGATATCCCGAGACCCTGCAGGCTGGACCGGCGCAGAGCCGCTCCTCTTGACCACTGCCCCGGGCCTGGGCGGGACGCCTCACAGCTGGGGCAGCAGCGGGTGCAGAGACCGCAGTCACGTGTCCCAGACACAGCTTCCCTATAGTCGGGGTCACGTGGTGTCAGTGATACGCCCACCGGATGGACCGCGGCTGTCGCGCAGATGGCCCCGGGAGTGCAGGGGTAGTCCCCAGAGCGCTGAGCTGCCCCTCTCGGCTTAGTCATGGCACGTCCCTCGGGCCCGACAGGCCGTGTTTGTCGGTTTCATCGCCACACACATAGCCAGATATTGTGTGCATGGATCTGAGAAAAGGGATCGGGGATCTGATTCCATGATCCTGATCTCGAATCCAATGGAGTCGTATATCCTATTCATCATGCAGCTCTCTCATTTTGTCGGAGATTCATTGGGATTGTGGATAAGCTGTGGTAAGTCTTACCTGCATAAAACTACTTGGTAGTCGCCGAACACGTTTCACCAGCCACGAGGTAAAGACAAGCATCGTACCTATTATTGATCCGTCCTTGGTTTGTCTTCAGATCCCAATGACATCATTAGGCTCGGAGTGAGATTTCCATGTGGGATCCAATGGGGTCATGGGTCCAAATCTGCAGCTTGGCTCGAGATATACACTGAGGTCACAAATGCATCCCTCGGGTTTCTGCCACATGGCTGCGGCCCTGATGGCTGTCTGCCCGCGGCAGGGGCAGCGGGGCCTGAGCCATGTGGACATGGGCTGACCGCAGTAAAAATAAACAACTTTTGGCGATGATTCCAGTACGCCTCGTGTTGAATTTCTCCGGGGAACACCCGTGTTGCTGCTCTGCTACGCCTCATGATTTAGGGGAGGGCGCCTCATACGTATGGGAGGGCCGGACCATTATCCGCGGGGTGATACATCGGTATATCCGTTCATCAGCTTTGAAAACTGGTAAAAAGTAGTATATTTTAGGGACACATAGCGCCAATTAGTTTAGAACCGCAAACCGATTTGGACGGCTATGGTGTTGGGAAGCCAGCCACGCAGCTATCCTGTCGCAAGTCAGCATAGCCGTAAACATGCGATATTCTGCTTTTAATTTGGCGCAAAAACCTGTTTAAAAACTTGCCTATTTCAATGATTGGTTTCGGCCACACCACAGAGTTCTTTATACTTTTCATCATTTTTTAATGGCTCATGATGAATTAAAATATTCTTACCTCTAACGAGTCATCGTTATTTGTGCACAAACGTCACGTTTAACCCTCGCCCTGGCAGGGCATTTTTCATAACACGGCCTGGCAGGGGGGGGTCAATGCGACCCCCTCGCGATTGGCTTCTATGGCACCTAGAAACACCAAATTTGGTAGGTAGGTGGGCCCCCTGGATTTCTCGCCCCTGTGCAAATTTTGTTGCTCTAGGTCAATATTTAGGGGGGTTTGGGGCAGGGGTGGACAAATGTGCTGAGTTGGGGTAGCACGGGCGCAGCAAATCCGCCGCCGCACTAGCGGTGACCTTGACCTTCACCATCTGTTGTGGCTCTAAAGCCAAGCCGGCGTGGAATTGGGAAAGCTCGTGCTACCCCAACTCGGCACAATTATCCACCCCTGGTTTGGGGTACCTATAAAATATAAATGTAAAAATTTCGCTTAAAACAGGTCAGAAGTTTCTCGCTTATAACTTTTGATCTAATAAAGATAGAGCAAAAAGTAAAGCACCAGTGAACTCAGCACGTCAAGGCGCGTCGAATGGTATACTTTTTATCTTGCTTATGTGTACTTCAAGTTTTTCTTAAATTTTAAGTAAACTTTAATTAATTAATTAAGTTCAAATTAACTAAATTGCATCATATTGCATATCATTCGATTCGGCTGATCATAAGGAACACAATGACACCATTTTTAAGCTTTAGCTTCATTATGTGCCAAGCTATTGGCAAAAACGTCATTTGACCTCGGTTGACCTCATTTGACCTGACCCATGGATAAGTGCACCTAACAAAGAAGCACCAAGTGACCTGCTCTTAAGTACTGTGGTTTCAAAGCACAGAAGTGATAGAACGAAGCGGATATCTCCAGTATTTTCCGAATTTAGTATTTTCCCGTAGGCTTAACATTACGACGTAATGACCTCGGCTCTAACTGACCTCAGGTCAGTGACATCAAAAAACACGAACTATATGTTATACAACTCGGTGAACTTAGCACACCCTGAAAGTTGGAAGGAAATCAGTCAAAAACTGTGAGTTGGACAGGTGGAAAAAGAAAATTGAAATTTGACCATGACCTTGTACTGGTTTTTCTGACCTGATGACCTGACCCAAGGTCACCCGGACCTGAAATTTTCAGGTCATATGTAACAAGGTTGCCCCATAGGCTGTGCCAAATTTGGCGGCGTCGAAAAACCTTAGGGGGGTCGCATCGACCCCCCTGCCAGGGCGAGGGTTAATTTGACTGTGCTTAGTACGAACGGATGAGCCGTGTCGGCGTACCGTATGTCTAATAAGTATGTCCCCTGGTTTGACTCTCCCACGGACATTTTTAGACATACCTACCTACGATACTATAGTCAACTAAGTAGTGTGACCACCGAACGAGCGCGCCCGGCCTCCGCTGGTGTCTGACAACAGGACAGAGGTCGCCAGCTTGAGCTGAATGTGGTCGTGATAACAACTGATAGGTGAGGTCGGCCGAGGGCCGTCAGTATCCATCCGCCGCAGTGAAAAACAGCAGTGTTTCTGTGGCGGCGGGATCATGTGTTAAAAGTTATGTCTGCGGTGAAACGGTCCGACATGGTGGTTATTGCCGTCCGACGTCCTATAATCTCACACCGTGCAGGCGGACCAATAGCCAATTGATCTCCTGGCAGAGGTAGTCGACGTCTAGCACTGGGGACGACTTGTGGCGTTTTTTCATATCTGTGTGACGTCACCACACCCACCGGCGGCGGCGGCAGCGCGGAGGGAGCGCATGCCTCCCGGAGCGGTCGTGGGCCATGCGCGCTGCCGCACGAGTGCAGTGGCCGTATTTATGTACAGTCTGTCTTAAAAGTACCGCGCAAAGTGACGGTGGATCCATCGAGCCTCACTGAGGAAGGGCCTGCTAAATTTTGGTCACCGAAGCAATTGACATCCTCGTCCATTCCCTAGGTCAATTGGTCGGTGACTTTCAAATTAAAACAGGCCCTTTCTCGGTCAGGCTTGATGGATCCACCGTCACTTTGCGCGGTACTTTTGAGACAGACTGTACATAACTACATACACTGGGTGGGCCCGTCCGAGCGAGCCGTCCCGCGGCGAGGTCACTCCCCCTCTCCCGTCCGCGCGTCCACTATCTGCCCGTCCCCTGTCCGCCGCCCGCCCGTTTTGACTGACCGTCTTGGTCAAAACTGTCCACTCTTGCGCCGTCACTGCGGCAAATTGTGGCCGCAGAGGTCCCCTGCCGGTCACTACTTATTCCGAGTGTAAAACACGCCACACATACTGAGACAGGAATGGGCCTACAATCACCGGGTTTACCACTCGGCGCTCGGAAACTTGGAAGAATTCACGAGTTTAGGCAAAAAAAAAAAGTGTTACCAAGTAATCCACTTTTGATTTGATTTATCCAACGTCGTACTGAAGAATAATGCACATCTGAATGCAATAATGAAAAATGACTTGAGATCGCTCGGGGTAAATAGTTTTTTAGCATTGCTTTTATCATTCTGCTTGGACATTTGTGTGATTAGTTCGAAAGCGTTTCCGTGCTCATTGATTCCGTACATAACTAATAACTATACCACTTACCAGTCTTCTGGCACAATATATCATTGTAGCATTTCGAAATGCCATTAAAGTTAATCAAAGTGTGCTTTTCAAATTACATGAACCCCTCGTAACTTTGGATGTAAATCATGTTTGTTTGCCCGCACCATTCAATGGCTGCGAATTCCGTTGATTTAATGTCCTATAGAACGATCCACGACATAGACATCACAGCCCATTTAGAGACACATTTTGTTGTTCAACTCGCGTCTGATTGCTATGGATAGATGTCATAGATTGAAATGACACGGTTCGAAGTTGTCTCATGTGGCATATAGTATAATTTAGGATATGTTCTGCTATAAGAGCCATTCAGGCTATAGATAGTGCCCTTGAATAATAATTTGATGGCATATCGGATGATGCTTGCTGCGATAGGTAAGTACCTATACTCAGCGAAATGGTAGAAGGATGGGACTCTTGTAGGTATCTGTATGTGCAATGAATGGTCAAACAGCGTATTGCTTCTGGTCTCTCTCTCTCTCTCTCTCTCTCTCTCTCTCTCTCTCTCTCTCTCTCTCTCTCTCTCTCTCTCTCTCTCTCTCTCTCTCTCTCTGTCTCTCTCTCTCTCTCTCTCTCTCTGTCTCTCTCTCTCTCTCTCTCTCTCTCTCTCTCTCTCTCTCTCTGTCTCTCTCTTTCTCTTTCTCTTTCTCTTTCTCTTTCTCTTTCTCTTTTTTTCTCTCTCTACCTCTCTCTCTACCTCTCTCTCTGTCTTTTCCCCTCTCTCTGTCTTTCTTTCTCTTTCTCTTTTCCTTCTTCTTCTTTAATTTTCCTTCTCCTTATTCTTCGAACTTCCAGAGCTTCCTTTTTGCGTAGCTGCAGGGTAAGCCATTCTTAGGTAGCGAAAGATATCCGTATAGGAAACATGCATTGTATCAATAATATCAATAATTGCATGGGCGATCACCGAGAGAGCGTTAAATGTGTCCGCTGGACGGGGATTGGAAGCGGTCTGCCCCATAATTCACGGTCAGTTATCACCGCCTGGCCGGGTGCCGGGCCGTCGGACAGCGCCGCGGCCGTGCAGTCGGCGGGGCGGGAGGCAGGGCGGCGGATTTATCCCGTCGAGAGGCCCTCACAACGGCCACTAACTGTCATAATGTCGGCCATTTAGCGGCGACCGATGGCGGCGATCGGCAGGCGCGCGGCGGGGGCGGGGCCCGCTCTGTAGGAGCCGGAGATGGCACAAGTGGCGGCATGTTTATCGCGCTGCGCCGCCAACCTTCGGCGGGCTATACAGGGCCGAGCGGCGCT